TTGATCAATCCCTGGCCAATCAATGTTAAGCAACCTATAAATCCCTCGTAAAACTCCGCACCTTGCCTCTATGGTTCTCTTTCTATATGTGACTGTCACAACCTAGTGTTCTTCACATTAGTTATTAAAGTGTTTTCTCTTCATTAAACCGTGGATGTGAAGATGCCAAACATCATACCTAAGAGGTGGCGTGTCAAGACCAGGTGAAGCCTCCTCTGCCTGGTGTGCACTTTCTGAATGGCTTTAGATGATTTTAACTCTCCGAGTAAATCAACAAAACTTTGTTTTCTCTTATAAAGGTATGATAAGGAAAAATACCTGCAGTTTTATATCAGGTAAATCAATAATTTTTATCCATAACCTATGTATGGTTTTTGGAGCACGAGTACTAGGCTTTGAATTCTCAGTTCTTTATTTATTTGGTGGTTTTGCTGAAGCGGTACGTGTAATTTAGGGTACAGGCGCATCATTCAGCAGAAATACCTCTGTGGTCAGCCACTCGCCTTCTGCCAGCGATCCGGTGGATCCCAGTTCTAGCAATCCATTATTCAGCTCCTCCCGGTCCTTCGCATCGGGACCTCGATTGTGGTTGGATCTGGCACCGCCACGCTGTTTTGGTTCGATAGATGGGCTGGGGACTCCCCCTTCATGGCTCGCTTCCCTGATCTATTCTCCATCGCGGTTGATCCGCGAATTTCTATAGTGGTGGCCCTTATTGACTTAGGGCACCTCGCTTCCGGAGACCTTTTGGACCGGCGAAAAATGATGCGTGGCAGGACCTGCTTGACTGCATTGCTTTGCACGACGGATCTGGAGATTGGAGAGGACCGCACCAGGTGGCGGCTAGAGCCATCTGGACAATTCTCCTCTAAATCTCTCTACCAGGCCATAGCCCCTTCGCCGGGCCCTGAGGCTCCCACCACCATCTGGGCGATCCGGCTCCCCTTGAAGATTAGGTTTTTCTTGTGGCAATGGATTCACGGCCGCCTTCCGTCCGGCGTTGAGGTCCGGTGATGGGCGATGCCCGCTCTGCAGGCCTGAAGAGGATACGAACCATATCTTGTTCATCCGTACGTCCGCGCAGTTCCTCTGGAGCTGTTTCCGCAAAGTAGTGGGTAGAAGATGGGATCACACCAACTTCCCCGCTCTATTCGCCGAACTTCAGGCGTTACCACCCGCGTCTCGCCACATTTGGTGGTTGACCATCGGGGTGCTAGCTTGGACGTTGTGGACTATTAGGAATAAGCTTGTGATTCAACATGTCCCTCTTCGTCGCGCTACTGACGCTTTTGTTCAAATGGTCTGGTTACTTGCAGCTTTGGCGGCCGCTTAGCCGCCCCAGGGAGAGAGATGCCATCACCTTCATCATCACCCAGCTTCGCGCGATGGCTCTCCGGATGGCTCCACCGCTTTCCCCACGACCACCAGAGCCGGATTAGATCTTCTCCCTCGCCGCCGCCGCCGCCACCACCACCGTTTATGTGTTGTGCATCCTTCATTTCTGTGTTGGGCTTGTTGTGATGTGCCCATCGCTGAACCTTGGGTAGTGTTAATGTGCGTGTGTGTTGGACCTTGCCTACGGTGGCGTTATGTGTGTGTGTGTACCATGTTGACTTTGTGCTCGGTGGTTTGCTTTATTTATAAAATGGAGCGAAAGCCTTTTTCCGTAATTTAGAGTACAGGGGATGTACGATTTTTGTTTATGAAAAAGGGTGTACGATCTTTGTGTGTAAGTTCGTTATAATTTTCGTGTTGGTTGAATCGTGCTCCCAGTTAATCGGGAGCTCGTGTAGAGTTCATCTCTCTCTTTCGCATAGACCGGAGTGCCATATGAATGTGCTATAAGCTTGCTATTATCCTAAATCCCTTGCCTTGTACCGTCCTCACGAACCACGCGGACATGGGCCATTTGGAGTTGGGCCACCTTGGCCAGAACGAGCTGGCTGCAGTCACGTCGGCGACGTGTACGCGACGCCACGTCCAAGTGGCCCGTTCCTGTCTCACCATGATTCCGGACCGATAACGGCCAACGCGAACGAGTGGTGCCGGGAGACGAGAGGATGCCTCCCACGTCGGCCCTCCATGTCGACCATGCAAATGCCATCCACATGTTGTCCTGTGCTACGCCCAGAATTCACGGAACGCGTGGGTGCCGGGAGACGTCGGCGATCCATGTCGACCACTAGCTAGCTGCATGGCTCGGATGCCAAGCTAAAGGGCTCAATTTTTGGTTGAGGTGGTGGGCCTTGCTAAATGTTATAGCCATACAAAAATGATGCCGCTTTTTGCAGGAGTTTTATTCTCCACTATTGTTATATTCTTATGCATGTATCTGCACCATGCTTGGTCTTTGTGGATCCGATATATGAAGAGGTTGCACATGTGCAGATTCACGTTTTTTGGCAATGCTGGAGGGGAGATTTGCGAAACGGAGGCAAAATTTTTACCTCATCTCATTAATAAAGAAGAAGAGTTGCCTGGTTAATTAGCAAAACCCGGCTAGAACCGTTACAACAACCCGCACAAGGCAACATCGGCCGACTTAGACACGTGTGTGGTGTGAATTTGTCCGATCCAATATATGGGCTTGACCAAGGCCATTTTATATGAATGGTTTAAATTTTAGAGTTTTGCTTTGGTAAGCTAAACTCAATTTTTGTTTGTTTGACCATGTGCATTCTCGACTTCTCGTATGCAAAGGCGGAGAGTGGTGGAGACAAGGGGTGCCAGCCAGCCCCGGGCCCAGGTCAGCATGCTATTTTTTTTTCACTAGAACAGTGAGTACTTCTGCTAAAGCAGTGTATTAGCTTTGTGTTTCATTGGTTTGGCCCTCCCCAAGCTAGTTTTCCACACTGAAAGCGGATAGTTGAACTTGAGTTCCGACGACAAATGAGTAAAAACCTGTATTATCAAAAGAATATGTTGTGTTGGTTTTTGCCTACAAATGAGCTGCCGACTTTCAAGTTTTCCAACAACATCTGTACTGATCAAACATGCTACTACATGAATTCATTATATATCACGTGTAAATCCTTTCAGAAAAAAATCACATCTAAGACACAACATTGAAACTGACACATTCACAAAGGTCAAGACGAAAAGAGACACAATCACAGGAAGTATGGCATGACTCCAGAAAAATGTCTTAAATGCACATTTTAATGGACAGGTCTTACGTGAATGTGTTGTGCGACATACCGTTGTGCGTATATACAGCTGAGTGGACAAGTGGCCACAATGAGATACCCTTGCTACAAAAATATCTCATATAATGCCAACATACTTGGAAAGCGATGTATTCTCTTCAGTATCAACCTCGGCTATGGGGCAAATGGCCTATATAAAGGAAGAACACACGTCTCTCCACCACAAGCACAAGGAAAGAACACCACAAATTAGTACGTACCAACACTCCATCAACTTCAAAAATGTCTGGTTGGTTTCAAGAGAAGTCCGGCGACGCCACCAAGACGGCGTCCGAGACGGGGCAGACCATTCAAGACCGCGCCGTCGAGGCAAAAGACCAGACCGGGGCCTTCCTTGGTGAGAAAAGCGAGGCTGTCACGAAGGCTGCCTCCGAGACTACCGAGGCGGCTAAAAAGATGGGCGGCGAGGCCATGGGGAAGGCGTCCGAGACGGTGGAAGCCGGTAAGGATCACGCCGTCGAGGGCAAAGACCAGACAGGCAGCTTTTTCGGCGACAAGACTGACGCTGTCAAGAAGACGGCCACCGAGACTGCCGATGCCACCAAGGAGAAGTCCACCGAGGCCGCCCAGCATGTCCAGGACACCGCTGCACAGTACACCAAGGATACCCCGGTCGCCCCCAAGGAAAACGTCTTCCAGCAGGTGAATCGATCACTTTGCAAACTATTCAAAGACAACACAAAATTAACCATGTCAACGAATTTTTTGTGTGGCCTTCTGATCTGTTCATGTTGAATTTCTTGAAATGAATGTTTGCTTGTTTGTTTCCAGGCCGGCGGGAATATGGTGGGTGCCGCTACAGACGCCAAGGACGCTGTCATGAACACGCTCGGGATGGGAGGAGACAAGTGAGATGCGGGTGGTGCCACCAAGAAGACCACAAAGGATAATAGGCGCGTCTGCGCTTGCTTGCCCTAGCCCTCCTTCTGTTTCGCTATTCCTTCAATATAATTTAATTTCCAGTTCCATGGCACTAATTTACACATGCTCCTTGGTGTAACTTTGTATGATGTATCCGACCGAGGTATGAATATATTTTCCACCAATCATAATCAACATGAGTGATTTGGATGTTGCACATTTCCCGTAAGAAACATTATGTATAATCATAACGAGCATGAGTGATTTGGATGTTGTACATGTTCTCATATGAAACACCATGACGTCTACACGAGTACCTCCCCCAACAAACACACACGCACATATAGCTCCCGTTGAACATTAAAGTCCTATGAGTTTGAACATCGACAAAACCACTATAGGCGCCTCGTAATTGGCGGTGGCAGATGCTTTGCCTATCTATCGAGAAACACGATGGGCGAAGATAGTGAACCGATGGTGATTTTTTTTTTTTTGAAAGTTGAACCGATGGTGATTGACGACACCTTGTCGAACTCGACTAGTAATTGCGAGTACATAATAAATAAGTAAAGAGCCTAGCACTAGCAATTGCGAGTACATAATAAATAAGTAAAGAGCCTAGCGACCGATCAAAAGCAATAACAAAGTCATCAGTACATAAAGAAGTGAAAGGTTTCTTCAGCCAGGCAAGATCCAGAGCAGAATCCTGCTCAACAAGTCAGCAGCATGGATAATTTGTGGTTCATTGCAGGAGTGCTCCCATCGTGTGCATCTTATTAGGGAAACTATCTATGGGGCTGATCGTTCAGATATTGAATAACATTCCACAACTGCGATAGATCGATAATCAATGTAAAGTTAACTGACGGACGCCGCTAGCAGTAAATTAACTGACGGACGCCACACAAGCAGCACCAGCAGATATTTCCGATTCCCCTCCACTCAGCCCAGCTCGCAGCAGACATGTGGTTCATCGCCGGGCACGCCGATCCAGTAAATAGTTAAGCCCCTCTTTTGGCTGTTCACTCTATGGCAAAACCACACAGTATTGATGGACAGATTCAAGGCAGTGTGGTTGTGCCGACATGCCGCTAGGCATCAATGCTGCACAAGTGGTCGACAAGGATATGTCCTTGCAAGGAAAAAAATATCTTGATGCCACGAGACCGATCTGTATCATCTTCAGCTTGGCCTTCGGCAATGGTGCCAAGGGCGCCTATATAAAGGAAGAGAGCACGAGTATCTCTCTCCACAAGAAGCAAGTGAAAAGAAAGAAGAAACAACACCACAAGCCACCACGTACGTAAGCTTTATCACCTTCAAAAATGTCGGGTTGGTTCGGGGGTAAGACGGACGCCAAGGCCGACGAGGCCGCCAAGACGGGGCCGTCCGTCCAGGACCGCGCCATCGAGGCGAAGGACCAGACCATCAGCTTCATCGGCGAGAAAAGCGAGGCCGTCACCAAGGCGGCGTCGGACACCGCCGACGCGGCCATGAAGATGGGGAGCGACGCCATGGGTAAGGCGTCAGAGACGGGGCAGGCCATCACGGACCGCGCCATCGAGAGCAAGGACCAGACGTTCGGCTTCTTTGGTGAGAAGACCGAGGCCGCCAAGAAGATGGCCGCCGACACCGGCGACGCCGCCAAGCAGAAGTCCGCCGAGGCCGCAAAGTGCGTCGAGGAGAACGCGGCAAAGTTCACCGGGGAACCCGCCGCCCCCAAGGAGCCCACCGGCAACATGTTCCAGCAGGTGAGTCAGTCGCTTGCAAACTAGTCATACAAAACAAAGTTAACCATGTTGAGGACAATGTCCATTGGCCATTTGAGCAGTTCATGCTAGGTTTCTCAAGACTTACGTCTCTCTGTTTCTATGCAGGCCGGCGGGCAGGTGATGGGTGCCGCTACGGGCGCCAGGGACGCCGTCATGAACACGCTCGGGATGGGAGGAGACAAAGCCGACGTCGGCAGCGCCAAATGAAGACCGCAAAGCGCAAAGGAGGGCTAGCCCACTTTTCGTTTCGTTATTCCCTCCGTATTCCTTTATTTCCGTTCCAAGAAACTGATCTCTACGCATGCGTCGGTGTAACTTCGTCCGGTGTATGCAAAGATGCTTTGAATCTACAGACTTGCTAATTCTCATCTGATGAATATATTCTTCACATATCAGATTCTTGTTTCAAACTATGCATGAGGCCAGCAAGTTATTTTAATGGGTGTGTCTAGCTTTGAGTCGACTGAGATTTAATAAATCTCAGTCAAGTAACATAACATGTAGTAAAGAAAAATAAAAAAAGAGAAGAAAATTTGCACGAATCTTAATGCAAGATCTTACGAATATAATATCGATTGAGATATATCTTGTTAGAATAAATCCGTGGCGCTCCGTCAATCTACCGAGGACCAAGCAATCACATAAAGGCAACACCGAGATTTGTTAACGTGGCTACATTCCTGGGGCCTGACTACGGGCGCTCCTCCCCATGACACCGTCCACACCGGCCACCCGGGCGCCGGCACACGCCGTCGGCTCCCCCTTGCGCGCCTGTGCTATTATGTTGGCATAGGTTACATCGTGTGTCTACCCCCGCTATATATGAGAGTCCTAGGATACAAGTGTCCTACTAGGACACGACTTCACATCCTATGTAAACACAATACAACTCATAGTCCAACTGTAACCTACCTTGTACATAATATTCGACACAACTTCAACAAACTCCACCTTGACGAATATTCTCCACCACCTTGGATTCATCCATGCGTCAAACTTCCATGTACATTGAACTTGAGTTTATCTCATGAGTACCGCTGCTACTCCAAAGACTCCATGTGACTCCACCTGCAACTTGTAATCCCTTCTTTCTTGACCACAGTCAACACTCGAGCAAAATTAAGTTCCTTATTACTCTAGTTTGTGTTCCCAACTTTCAGAGTATCCGTCAACGTCATCGTGCACCGATCACTGACCTGCTTGAAAGTGAACAACTCACATATTGGATGCCACACATAAGAGTTACCTGAACTCAACACCACCGCTCCTTTCTTGACTGCCTGTCTGAAACTTGAAGGAATTTCACCATTGCTTGTAGTCATCCCGAGTCAAATTCGCAGTTGCCTCACCACATGTATGACCACCAGAGCCCTGACCCGTCTACATGCCCCGTGCGTACCGCACGCCTCGTCGCTATTACCGCGTCAAGCCTCTGCTGTATCGGTCGAGTTTCAAGGGTCGTGAACCACAACTCAACCCCCACTGCAGAGTACCACCGATCATCACTGACCGATGACGAGTTTCACGCTTCCATCAGACCACTGGGCTCCAGTCCGAACTAAGTGTCCCTCGCTTTTCCCCTTGCTGAATAGGCTTCGACTCTCTGTCGACTTACGCCGTAGCCCCTCAATCCCGCTCCACCTTCAACATGACTCCATGATAGATGATCAGTCCACCCCTGCGCCTCATCGACTTCAAGCTCCGTGCATACACCACCTTGAATCAATCCCGTGACATAGTCTTGTCAAAGCCACACAAGCCCTCAGACCTGCGCCGCGTGTTGCCACGCCCAGAAGTCGGTCACCATCAACAGCACGCACCTATGTCATCGTCGTCGATCCCATCACCATCTTCTGTACCAACCGACCTGTGTCGATCCGTCAGACTGTCTAGTCTGACCCAGCCGAACTTGTCCGGCTGCATGACACGCTCAAGGCTTTCAAATCATCTTCCGCGAATTCTAATCCATCACATTATAATTCCATCATAGCTGCCATGACTTTCTACAACGCCTTCAAGCATCCCTGTCGTGCCAACAAATATTTCACCCATATCTGCCATAACCCAAGGTTTTCAGTTCTGTTGAACTTTTCCACCTCAAACCCGATGCCCGATGGCGTCACGATTCTTCGTACGGCTGACCTCAAGAAAAAATAACCGAGCTTCTGCACGCAATGCCCAAGTACATCAAGTACGTGTACTAGTACTAGCAAATTTAATCGATAAATTGCTTTAATCTTCACATGATGGCTCCTGACTCAACTCGCGATGCTGCTGTTGCTTTGTCCTGCCTTCCGATGGATGCACCGTATCGCTTGATGAATTTCTCTTTCTGCTGACTAATTTGCGTGCCTATCCGCGTCATACATAAAGATTCGGTCTTCTTTTTTTTCTTCCAAACAAATCTCACGATGAACTTTTGACTGCACGATTGTCCCGTATCGCTCCTGCGGCTTGAGCCGAGTGAAGTTTGATTTAAACCTTGACGTTGTAGAGCTCGTATAAAATGAACCCTCATCTTTAAATCCCTGAAGTCCATACCCTGTCTTTTGCAATCCCGGTCGCTTTAAACCTTAAAGCTGTATCCAAACAGGAAATTTCAACATGACACCGGGAAAGGCCGGGATGGACGAGGTAGGCAAGACATTTGTGTGGAGCCCACTTGGCAGTGAGAGATAGAAATAGCACAGTGACACAACACGGACATCTAAGTACGTTCAGGCAGCTGGTAACCAGCTGTACGAAGAGGTTGTCTTGTTGAATTAACATATACGTATACTGTATAAGATTATATTATCCACAAAGTACACACAAGCACACAAAAAAGGCAGTGTGTGTCCGCTTCCTGGTGACGACCATGGCACGACGCTTTCTGCAGAGATGGAAGCCGGCGACGTCCATGTCCACGGGGTTCCTACCTGTTCAGCGCACGCACAAAGGCGTCGTCGGGAGAAGACGATGCAGCGTTGTGGCCACTTCGCGCGCTCACGGATGGGGGAGCTGACGTCCATGCACCGGTGAAGGCAGGGTGTGACGACACGACGCGGTTGCAGGCGCGCGACAGCTCGAGCGATGCAGGGAGCCGACGAGACTGCCGAGCTCGCCGGGCGGGATCCTGCCGGAAAATCACGCGGTGTATTGTAGCCTGCACATGGAGAAGACAACTGTCATGGTGCTGCAGAGGTGGTTGGCGTCGAACGTCATGAATGGCAGACATCT